ACAAATATATACTTAAAAATAAAAAATAAAAAACATTTATTCTTACTGTGAGTTTAACCTACCATCACCGAAATTACTATGAGTTTAACCCACCGTCCATCTCTACCTAAATCGCCGAAAAATGCTCGCCTCACTGGCTAGTTTAACCCACAAACACTTCCCCATCAATCAATTGCACAAACGAATCCTTTAACCATCCAAAACTTAGAAGAAACCAATTTGCTTCCTCCATCAATTTCGGCATCGATGATGGGTCCCATGGTCCCGGATCATCCATTCCGGCATCCCCTCCTCATGCTCCAACTATTAAACTCTCTCAGGACTTTCTTTCTGTTTTCTTGCTCCGCCATTGACGCCACTGTCTTCTGCTTCCCTTTATTCTCTTCACCTTTATAGTACCCATCGCCCAGCCCAATAGCGACGGACCACTATAGTCAGCCATCGATGATTGCCAAGAAATTGCATAAGTCCAGCTCTCTTGAGCATCTTCCATCAACGCCAACAAATGCTGATGCAACGTTTCTTAATTGAAAAACTATTCCGTAAGGAGAGCATTTTTTGGATGCAAGCTGCAAAAAGCAATCGACTTTGCTGGGTTACTGAATGGGCAGTTTGAATAATCAAAAGTTTGAATTTATTGTCCCAAACAAGTAAAAAACAGCTAAACAAGAACCTGGATTTTTAATAGCAAATCAAAACCTGTTGACTTGGTCTCAATCTACCAATAACTCATGAGTCTTCAAGAAACATACCAAACCTTCAAGAAAAGTTGAATTTGCCAAGAAGTTTGACTTGGGCACTAAGCTTTAAAACACCCAGGAAAATTGGATGAGTAGAATTTACACCATGCTGGCTAGACGAACAACCAAGAATCTACAACAAATTGAACCTGGAATGAAACTATAAACAAAGTCGAAACAGCACCAAATTCTGGATATAAAATCGAACATCACCAAAGAGAAGCACCAGTGTAATTGGTTAAAGGGGAAGTGGCATTTTCGACGCTTTACGTGGTGACGGTGGGATAAACTCATAGTAAGAATAAATTTTTTTTTATTTTTATTTTTAAGTATATATTTGTTAATTTTTTGAAAATTTGGGATTATGGTTACAATTAATTCTTTATTTTTTCTTTTATTTGAATATGAGAGCAAAATCATCAAAAATAGATGAAAGAACCTTTTGCGCAATGAAAAGTGGAAGGTTTGGGTGAAAATGCCAAAAAATGAAAAATAGGGACATTTTGCACATCAACATTGAAATGTAAAAATGTTTTGTGCTAATTACCCTAGAAAGTTTAATGTGCTTAAAGGTCTAGAAAGACGTAGAGCACCGAATTCAAGATAAGATGAACAGGTTAATAATTTAAAATTTTCAAGATCTGACTTAATAACTATTTTCATGTCAATTTTCTTTTTCTTTTTTTTTTTTTTAAATTATCACAAAATATCTTATTTGTATACAATTTTAACCACTTTTTAAGAAAGTAAATGATCCATATCCCCTCAAAAAATGGTTTCAACATTTTTAGAAAAAATAAATAAAGTAGCAACTCTGTTCTACCTATGAGGTCGATGGGCCAATGAGTCGAACTGAGCCGTTACTTTGGCTCGTTCAAGCTTGTATGTTTAAGGATCACCTGACTCACCCCGACCAATTACGTCCCTAGGATTTTTGTTGAAATGAGTTTTGTAATAATGAATTTTTGAAAAACGTATGATTAACATGCAGAAAAATATCGTGTTTAAGTACACAATATTTAATTGTGAGCACTTATAATTTAAAAGGAATTTGAAAAAAAAAAGTTAGATAAAGAGGATCACATGGGAACTTTATCTCATTTGCATGATTATATATTACACCGCATATAAAATATAGTAGAAACAACCATCTTAAAACCGTTCTGAAAGAAAAATCATAGAAAAAAACAATTTCCACGTTTAGTGTTTATCGGACATTCTATTTTACTGCAATAATTTTGTGTCATTCTTTACTTAATTTGCAAAACAAAAATTCATTCAATTAGGCATAAACTTAGAATATATAATTTAAAAAATCAATTGTTTCACAGTAAGAAGTCGAACAATCTAACAATCCATTCTGTCCTTCCCCTACAGCCTGGAAGGTAAGGAGTCGAACACAGCATAAACGGCGCTATGAAGAGATTGAGAGTTCGCCTCTCAGCCTTTCAGCTGCATTTTGATAGTCGTAAAATCTTATGCAAAGCCAATACAGGCGGGGCATAAAGCATGAACACAAGGAAAAAATCAGTAAGATCTTATGAATAGCACTATTTCGAGAACAAAATCACATACAAGGGGGAGAAAATGTTTGCTCAAGTATTGCCACAAAAACTAAAAGAGATCACTTTCCAGCAAAATTTTCACTTTAAAAAAAGTGTCACTATCTTAATACTTGATCGGGGCAATGATGTCAAGTTGGGCGCCGAGCTTCTCTTCAGCAACTTTCTCAGCTTTAACTCTCAGTTTCGTCAACTGCTTCTTTCTCTCGTACGCTGCCTGAGCTCTGTCCTTCCTCTTCTTCTCCAGTTCCTATAGCATACATAACATTTACGTTTAAAAATAGATATTCACCAAAGATGTTTATTACATAGGATATCTAAAGAAAATGATCCATTCAAAATATCACCGTCAAATCAAGGATAGGGGGAACTCAGCAAAAGTGTAAAACCATACATTTAATATTATAAGATTTAATGGAATTGTAGATGAAATTTTAAGTGGGCAAATAACAATACCTTAAGGGCTTACTTGTCAATGATTTTGCAAATCATTTTTTCCCAAAATCAATTTCAATCACAAATTCTAAGGGAACTACTACTTTCCCCGCCTTTTAACCACACATCCTCCAAATAATTCATTTTCCCCTCGAAAAAAATTGTGCAAAATAAGCTCTAAATAAAAAATATAACGCCTGTATTGAAAGGCAACTAATTTTGCCACCAATAACAAAAATCAAGAAAACTTACCCTGATAGTATCATAATGGTTCCATCCAACCTCTGATGAGAGTCTACCCAACAAACAATACTTGTGTCCTGCTTGAAGCCTCAAAACCCTGATTATGAAAGGCCAATAAGCTGAAGAGATTTGGACGAGGACACTTTTAAAATAGTACATACATATATATATGTACATGTATTTATGTACATATTTATATGTATGTACACACACACACACACATATATGTTCTAGGAAACTCACTTGAGAGCATCAGGAATGACCATTCTCTTTGTCTTGTCATATGGTGGTGGAATACCTTCGTAAACCTTCAAACGAGCAAGTGCAGCCGCTCCTCGCTTAGTCTTGTGAGGGATCATCCTATAAAAAAAATTGACAAATGACATGAGAAAAAAACTGACTATTTTCAGCACATTAAATTCAACTACAATGTCCAAATTACAGAGAAATCAAGCAACACTACTTTGGCATGAAAATATAACATAAGATCCCCCTGCAGTAGTTTGATCTTTGAAAAAATTGCATATAGCATACATAGGA